TAARGAACAATYACACAACGTGCAAGATGATTTTTTAATGGTTGATCTACATGATAAATAGTGGATAAATTCAAATCTTGGAACTGAATTAGGCAAAGAGATTTGAATTAAGCAAAGACAAAAGTACAGACCCGATATCATAGTCGTGCTCCATTTGAACATGGGGTTTGTCAGTGTGTGCAAAAAAGAATGATTAGATTAGTGTTTAACACAATCTTAATCATTGTATCGAGAAATTAAACTGCTTTTTTTGGAGATGGACAGAGCATGTCATCATCAAGATCTTCATCGTTATCATGAACTACCTGAAAAAGAACACTAATTGATTGAAAAAGACCAAAAAACGATCAAAGTTGTAAAAATCCCACGATCGAAAAGTATTAATAGATGTGAATCTGCAAAAACATCAATCAAACAAATAAAACTCCAAAAGAAGAACAAATATAAAAGAAGAAAAACATACGATGAAAAAAATGATTAATTAACGTACGATGAAAAACAAAAAAAAGGAATGATTTGTTTAGGTGTTATGAAATCAGAAGGAAGGTATAAAAGAAGGGAGAGATGGAACGCTTAATCGTTGCCAATCAATATAATACTAAACGAAAACATAGGCTAAACTCTTTCACGTCGTGTATTAAAACTCAGTTTAGTATTTATAAACAAACCTAGATCAATGTTTAGGGTTTCAAAAAAACCGACGCACACGGGCTTTAGTACCAAATAGACTCAAACATGATAATTATCAAAAACCAGATTACGATTATAACAGCCCAAATATGATATTTAGGGATGGCATGACATGTAATTAGGTATATTCATTAAGGTTAATATCGTCAAATCAATTATTAAACTCACTCTGGAGTCGCTCCGTAGGATCTGCGACTTCTCGTTTAGAAGTATAGATTGACTCCATTTTACATGCTGCTTCTCGTGGTGGTCCTAAAACTCGAAGTAGAAAGCATCGATCAAACCCATATTTCTTTACAATTATTCAACTTTTTTTTTTGCATTTTACTTTTGCAAACAATGACAAATTTTGTATGAAAGTTAATAACTTTTTATAAGAAATTCTTGACAAATTTGCTACGCATTATTTGCTAATATATAAACACATGTCGCCAAATGTCGACGGTCCAAAATTATGAATACAAGTAGATATGTAAAGATAAAACATTATTACAATAATAACAAGAAAAAAGACAAAAAAAAACGCAGAACTTTCATGCCAAGTTTTTCACCTCAATGAATTACGTTGTTTGGCTAAGATTTAACCACGTGTCAACTTTTTATTCGATCTAGATGGATACTCCTAGGCCCCACATGGATAGACTCATGGACACGCTCATGTGAAGCCATAGCATCATCATCACCAACCACAA